GCCCACCAGGCCCTATATGATTTGGTCCCTGAAGCCTTAACCCTTTGGTCCCATCTCTTACTACTTTTTTCACAAGTGTTCTTTTTTAAAAGATTTATTTATTATTTATTTGAAAAGATGAGTGACAGAGAGAGGGAGAGAGGGGAAAGCTAGAGAGGAATGTATGCAGCAGGTAGGGCTGGGCCAGGCCAAAGCCAGGAGCCCAGAACTCTGTCCAGGTCTCCCACATGGATGGCAGCAACCCAAGTCTTGGGTCAGGATCTGCAGCCTCCCAGGTGCCTTAGCAGGAAATTGGATTGGAAGTGCAGAGTAGTGGGGACTCGAATCAGGCACTCCAATATAGAATGCGGGTATCCCAAGCAGTGGCTTAAACTGTTGTGCCACGGTGCCCAACCCTCACGAATCCCAACACACCTGGTTCTTTGCTGCCTTTCTACTTACAGTTTCTTCGGATTATCCTCCTCTCACAGCTTGCCCTCTCACGTCCTTTAGCATTTTGTTCAGCATTGCACTGAATGCCCCAGCCCTACGCACCCACCTCTGACACCCCCTGGACATACTCTGCTTTTCTCCATAGCACTTAATCACCCCCTGAGGTCCCATTGCTTCACTTACGCATTTGTCACCACTCCGTTCCCCTCACTAAAGCAGGGGCACATAAAAGTCACTTAAAAAATTATTGAATGAATGAATGAATGAACTCAACTTTTCTCTAGTGGGAAGAAATTCACGGACCTAAATTCTACCAGTTGAAGCAATTCAAATGCGTAGTCTGGTGTTGCTCAGCCTGGCACAAGTTTGAAGAAGTCAACTAGTGAAGACGCAATCACCGTGGTGTAACTCAGCTAGACTCAGTGCATGAAATCTGACTTCAGAGTGGACAGTAAGAAATCTGCCTCTGTGGTGCAACTTCTCAGATAAGCCCAGATCTTTACATTTTATTGACTGTAAAAGCAGTGCAATTAGCCCACTGACACTCCTTTCTGTTGAGGTAGGCTATATGAATTATAGAACGCTTGCCCACTCCCATGGGACTCAATAAAGCTGCTGTTAACTAAAAGGGAAATAGAGGACCATTTATATTTTTTCTGAAGTATCTTTGCTAATATCATAAATATGGTGTTTATGAAAATTCATGATATTATCACTAATACTATATTAAGATTTAAAAAAACAACCCTAAGAGGGGAGGGGCTGTTTTTTGCTACTTCTCTGAGTGTGCAAGTTCCGAATCTGTTAGTGATGGACCTTGGACTTAACCTTCAGTGCCAGGTCAAATTTTTTCCTCCCTGCCTTACGACTTCAGGAGAAATACTGCCCTTTGATATTTGTATCTTAAGTAACTTCAGATTTGCTTCTGATTAAAAATAAGTGAACTTCCCTGCCCGTGGAGCATCGTTGGCTCCCAGCAAGGGCTCCTATGCTCCCCTTCGCCATGGCTGCAGGATGTGGCAGCCTGTGCACCTGCTTCCTTGGGTTTTCTGCCCTTCTCTGTTTTTCCTTAGACTCTGCAAAGAGGCAGTCTGTGTATTCCACTGCTAGAAATCCTCCAACCCAGATAGTCCCTTCTGCTCTGCTCGTCTATCTCATGTTTCCTAGCTAAGTTCCTTTCAATTCATTTCAACTCTATCCTCAGGTTTTATCAGAATTTAGCTGACTGTCCCATTTCCATCCCCACCCCCTGTAACTTTTACAGCTCTATTTATTATATCCCATGTGCAAACAGAAATCACTGGCTTCTGTGTCATACAATCAGATGAAGAAGTATTCCAGGACAGGAATTATGGTAGTCCATTTCTACATCGCCAGCACTTAGCATAGGGCCTGGCAAATAATTTGTGTTCGAAAAGTGGTTATTGGGGCTGGTATTGTGGCACAATGAATTAAGACACTACCTGCCATGCTGGCATCCCATTTGAGTGCTGGTTTGAGTCCCAGCAGCTCCACTTCCAATCCAGCTTCCTGCTAATGCATCTGGGAAAGCAGCAGAAGATGGCCCAAGTGCTTGGGACCCTGCCACCCAGGTGGGAAGTCCTGGTGAAGTTCCAGGTTCTGGGCTTCAGTCTGGCCCAGCCCTGGCTGTTGTAGCCATTTGGGGAATGAACCAGCAGATGGAAGACCCGTCTCTCCCTCTCTCTGTAACAACTTTTCAGTTCAAATAAATAAATAAATCTTAAAAAGTTGTTACTAACTCACCAAACTGGCTTTTCAAATGTGTAGGCTCTTTCATTTACATTTCCCACAGGGGTTTCCAGCTCTTCACACTCAAGTCTGACCCCTAACTTCCTTCCATAGTTTGTGATGTCCTTGAGAGTGTCTTTTATGTCTGTGTGATGTGAATGAATGAACGAATGGATACTCTCACAGCCATTCTGGGGGAAGTATCTTGTCCTATTGATATGAGCAATCAATCTTATTTATGGATGGACTTACATAGAGGGGTGCTTCAAAGAGTTTATGGAAAAATGGAATTGAAAGGTAAGCATTTTGATGCAAAAAATTTTGAAATCCATGTATAGTTTTTTTATAATACGCATTTTCTGTGAACTTGTGGGATAGTCTTTTATGCATGGATTTCAACAGTTTATTGCACCAAGTTTTCAATTTTATTTCCACGAACTTTTAAAAAATTATTTATCTTTATTTATTTGAAAGAGAGACAGAGACAGACCAGCAGAAAGAGAGATGTTCTTTCTGCTCCTACAGTAAGCTGGGGCCGGGGCAGACTGAAGTCAAGAGCCCAGAACTCAGTCTGAGTCTCCCACACAAAAGGTAGGGACCCACATACTCGAACCATTGTCTGCTGCCTCCCAGAGTGTGCATTAGCAGCAAGGTAGAATGTCAGGCAGAGCTGGGACTCGAACCCAGGCACTTCCAAATGATATGTGCATATCTCAAGTCGCATCTTAACAGCTTTGCCAAATGCCTGTCCTTCCAAACTTTTTGCAATACTCTCAAATATGGTGTGACTTGGGAAGTACCAAGAAGAATCCACTTTCAAAATCTCTCTTTATTCCATTAGTCAATCCAGTTTCCTAGATCTGTGCTGTTTGATTCCTTTGGGTTAAGGTATTGACTTTCTTTCTCTCTCTCCCCCTCTAAGATTTATTTATTTATTTATTTGAAAGTCAGAGTTACACAGAAAGAGGAGAGGCAGAGAGAGAGAGAGAGAGGTCTTCCATCCGCTAGTTCACTCTCCAGATAGCTGCAACCGCCAGAGCTGCGCTGATCCAAAGCCAGGAGCCAGAAGCTTCTTCTGGGTCTCCCACGTGGGTGCAGGGGCCCAAGGACTTAGGCCATCCTTTGCTGCTTTCCCAGGCCATAGCAGAGAGCTGGAAGGGAAGTGGAGCAGCTGGGATTCCAATAGGATGCTAGCACTGCAGGTGGCAGCTTTACCCACTACACCACAGTGCCAGCCGCTCTCTTATCTGAGAGACACACAGAGAAAGCTCCAGTCTGCTGGTTCACCCCCCCCCCCATATTAATCATTAATAAGTCAGATAGGAGTATTAGTGTAACAGATCCTTTCCAAATGAGAATAAGCTGAGCATTGATCTGACGACAAGGGATAAGAGACAGGAGTGTGTGGGGAAATAGATGCAAAGTGGGGAAGCACAGTGGCTAGACAGGGAGAAGGATGCTGAGAGACAAGGCAATTTTTTTCTTTTCTGATTTTGCTAAATAGGTTTCGTTTCTTTTCTTTTTTAAGAAAGATGTATTTATTTATTTGAGAGGCAGAGTTATCGACAGAGAGAGGGAGAGGCAGAGAGAGAAATCTTCCATCTGCTGATTCACTCCCCAAATGGCCACAATGGCCAATCCAGAGCCAGGAGCTTCTTCTGGGTCTCCCATGTGGATGCAGAGACCCAAGCACTTGGTTCATCCTTTGCAGCTGCTTCCCCAGGCCATTAGCAAGGAACTGGATCGTAAGTGGAGCAGCCAGGACTTGAACCTGCGCCCATATGGGATGTTGGTGCCACAAGCACAGGCTTAAACTACTGGGCCACAGCACCGACCCCCAGGTAGGTTTCTAAAATGCAGGCAAGGAGTAAGTGTTGTGGTGCAGTGTATTAAGCTGTCTGCATGACTGCATCTCCTATAGGAGTGCCTGTTTTGAGTCTTGTATACTCCCTGCTTCTGGCTAACATGCTTGGGAAGGCAGTGGATGATGGCCTAAGTACTTCGGGCCTTGCCACCCATGTAGAGGACCCAGATGGAGTTCTGGGCTCCTGGCTTGCTGCCCCAGCCTGACCTAGCACTGATTGTTGCAGGCCAATGAACCAGTGGGTGGAAGATAATCTCTCTCTTTGTGTCACTCCCTCTCTGTCATTCTGCCTTTCAAAGAACTAACTAAAATCTTTTAAAAAAATAATAAAATGGAGGCAAGATCCAATCTGCTTATGACTTTAAGCCTAAAAATGTGTGAAATTCTGGGTTAGCAAGCCCAAAACCCAATCTCTTCTCTGTCTGTATTTATCCAGACAACTCGAGGTTCAGAAGTCAAGAAGGACCTCAGAGATCACTCCAGCCCCACACCAGTTATTTTGCTGATGAACACGTTAAAACTCAAAGGGATGAATGAGGCACCTGGCCCAGAGGCTCACAAGAACAGACCAGATTCTGGTCACCTTGCGCATCTCTTCAGGAAGAACAAATAATATGTCATTAGAATCACTATATAACTGCATCTAGAAAAAGTCACCGATTTCCCCAAATCAAAATAGTCAAAATCACTCCCTATCCTACTAGCTTTCCATTAACTACAAACCAAGTGTTAAATATATATTTCGCAAAGGAAATTCACAGAAACAAATGTGTCTACATTTGTAGTTGAAGAATATCAAAGCGCGCCACATCACCAAATAAATCATGAATTAAACTAAAAGACGTGTTAGTGCTTCTAGGATTGAGGGAGATACGGATATCTGAATGCTACACGTCCTCCCTGGAGATCTGTGACAGATGACTGGTCTCCGGGACGGAGACCGAAGCCTACTTACCTTCTGCTCTGGCATGCCCGGAATCCTGAAGGCTTCTTGTGCAATGAGGAAACGCGATGGTAACCGCGGGCAGGTGACTGAGAAGAATCAGGACTGCGAACATAGTCTGGCACCTGTCAGAGAAACTAAAACAAACAAACACAAAGCGCGTCAAAAAAAAAAAGCCCCTGTCTCAGCTCCTGGAGTTTCTGTGGGAACTGAGTCGCCGACCCATTGTTCTCAAAGCCGCCGCCGCGCGCGGTTTCGGTCTCCCGGGCCGGACGCGAGTTGAGAAAGCGGCCCCCGAGAGCGCCTGGAGACAAACGCCGCGCCCTGGGACTCTGCACCGGCCGACCGGGCACCTGTCGCCGCGGGCAACCCTCGGATTACGTTCCAACAAGATCCTGTCCGCCCGAGCCCCGGCCCCTGGATCCCCTTCGCGGTAACCCATTTCCCCGCCGGGGCCCCGCACCTGTAGCCCCCGGCACATGTTCCAGCAGCCCCCGGGCCGGAGCCCAGTCGTTTTGTGGTTCCTGCTGCCGCCAGGCCCTCGTCTCCGACGCCCCCCAGGTCTCCGCAGGACTTCGGGCCTAGCTCTTTGTCGGGGTGTCCTCCGCGCGAAGATCCAGGAAGCGCCCAGGGCCCGCAGAGGGGCGCCCAGGGGACGCGAGCGGCGCGAGTTTCTGCCTCGGTCCCCGGAGACCGCGGACAGCTCAGTGGGAGAGGGAGGAAGCAGCTACCGGGGGATCACCTGGCCGCGCCCCGCCTCCTGGGACCCCGCCTACCTGTAGCGGGCGGGCCGCGGGACGGCGTCTCCAGGGAACCCGCGCTGAGCTCCAGCGGCGGACGCAGCTTCTGTCCCCAGCCCTGGGCGAACCCAGCCGCCTGTCGCCAGTTCTGGCCCCGCCTTGGCGGCGCGGGTGGCTGGCTTTGGACTTGTCTCTGGATCCGGCGTTCTCAGTGAATTCAAGCAAGCATTTCAGTGCTCAGTGCTCAGCAAAGCGCCCTGGGCGCGTCCTGGGTTTTTGGGTTTGGGTCACCTTAGGCTTTGGGGTCCTGTGGTTACCTGTCCTCCAAGGGTGAACTGGGGAGAGACGAAAAACACTCATCAGAGAAAATACACTGTATTGGCACTATGAAATGAGAAATGAACTTTAAAAAAATTAATCGATTACATTGGTTCTCAACTGGTGGTCCTCCAGGTCTGAGATGGCTACGAGTGATCCTTTCAAAGGCCCTCCGAGGTCAAAACTACTTCCCTGTGGTGACAAGATGTGATTTGCCATTTTTCACTTTCATTCTCTCAAGAGTGTACAGTGGAAATTTCCAGAGATTTTCTTGACATGTAAGGATGTCGTCACTCTGCTAACAGACTACCTGTTCAAGCATGCTGTGTTTTCTAGTATTTTCCATGATAGTAGGCTTAAAATACCAGTATAAAAGTTTTATGTAAAGATTTGTGTAGGTTTATAGAGATTAATATTTGTTCTCAGTATTTCTGTGCTTTTACTATGCTTACCAGGAGAGCTATAACCTCTTTATTCCCAAAGAAATAATTACCTTGAACTTTTCTTTCAGCCTACTCAGAAACAACAATAAGTACACATTGTTGTCTTGATTTGAAATAATGCTTTGTAAATTTCTGAATTTTAATGTGTGATAAATGTCATTAGATATAATTCACATGTGGCACAATGGGTTAAGCCACCACTTGGGAAAACTGCATCCCATATGGGGGTACCCATTCACATCCTAGCTCCTTTGTCTCCAATCCAGCCTCCTGGGAGCCAGTGGACCGTGGCTGAAATGCTCACCTCCCTGTCACTCATGTGGGAGACCAGGATGGAGTTCTGGGTTCCTGGCCCAGCCCTGGCCATTGTGGGCATTTGGGGAGTGAACCAGGATATAGAAAATCTCTCTCTCTCTCTCTCTCTCTTTGCCTTTCTAGTAGATGAAAATAAATGAATAAACCACAAGGAAATGCTCTTTGGGGCCCTTGATAATTCAATGGAAAGAGGGTCCAAGGTCAAAGAATATGAGAAGTGCTGCCTCAAGTACTGAAGACAGCAGGTGCACACAGAACCTTTGCTAGATGGGGTTCATAGCCTTCCCCGTATACATAACATGCTCAACAATTCCTAGGACCATTATTTAAGGTTTCATGCTCTGGCCGAAGTGAACTGGCACTGGCTGGAGGCCAAAGGAAGCATTTTCCCCCTTCCTGATCTTTAACTGATGTCATTTTCACCAAATACTTTTTCTCCCCACAATGGCTATTGTCTATTTTATTCTGATTATCGAGAATCAACTGAATTCTTATAAGTTTCCTGTAGAAAGTTTGCTTCCACTGATTCCTTCTAAGCATGGCAGCTCCCCACCCCCAACCTCCTGTGGCAGTCTCTTCCTGTTCACCTTCCATGTGTCCACCTGGTTGTCTAACCTGTTTCCACGGTGGATCCCTCGTCCCTCCTTCTTACATAAGTAACTGGGACAGACTGTGAAGAGCTGGAAATAACTTCTTTGGGCTGCATGAGAATGGGAAACATCTTCACTGGAACATTCATACTTCTGTTTGCTCACTTGGTCAATCTGCAACTAAGATAAACACCATAGCCTCTGTTTTGAGAAGCTAATCTGGCCAAAATCTAATCTAAGAATGTGGGTCATCAGGGCCAGGAGTGCCTGACCCTACTCTGCGGCCTCCACAGCACCCAGCAGAGCGCCTTCAACATTGTTTGTGCTCAGTACACTTTTGTTGGGTGGAAGCTATTTACTTTTTTTCTGGCTTAATTTTGTCTTGCTTATGTATGCATTTCTTTTTATGTGAAAGGTTGAGAGGCAGATAAGGAGAGAAAGAGACAGCCACAGAGAGATCTTGCTTCCATTAATTCACTTCCCAAATGCCCATAACATCTGGTGCTGGGCCAGGACGAAGCCAGGACTCAACCCAGTCCAGGCCTCCTACATGGCTGGCAGGGACCCAAGTACTTGAGCTGCCTCCCAGGATGTGCATTAGCAGGAAGCTGGAATAGGAAGCAGAGCTGGGACTTGACTCCAGGCACTTTAATATAGGATGTGATTCTCCCAAATGCTTGCCCTTGTGTGTGTGTGTGTGTGTGTGTTTTCAAGATTTATTTGAAAGTCAGAGTTATATATATATAGAGATCTTCCATCCGCTGGTTCACTCTCCAATTGACCACTATGCCAGGGCTGGGCCAGACTGAAGCCAGGAGCCAGGAGCACCTTCCAGCTCTCCCACATGGATGGCAGAGGCCCAAGTCCTTGGGACATCTTTTGCTACTTTTCCCAGGCCACTGGCAGGGAGCTGGATCTGAAGTGGAGCGGCCAGCACAAACATCCCTCATGGGATGCCGTTATCACAGGCGGTGTCTTTACCTACTGCACCGCAATGCTGACCCCCTGTTTTGTTTGTTTTTAATTGTATATATTTACGAAGTACAGTGTGATAGTTTGATACATGTAAACAATGTGTAAACAATGTGTAATGATCAAATCAGATTAATCAACATTTTCATAGCTTAAACATTTATCATTTCCTTGTGTTGGGAACCTTTGAATTCCTTCTTCCAGCTCTTCATAAAATGTATAATAAACTGGGGGCCGGTACTGTGGCGTAACAGGTTGAGCTGCGGCCTGCAGGGCCAGCATCCCATATGGGCGCCAGTTTGAGTCCAGCTTCTGATCCAGCTCTCTGCTATGGCCTGGGAAAGCAGTAGAAGATGGCCCAAGTCCTTGGGCCCCTGCTTCCACATGGGAGACCTGGAAGAAGCTCCTGGCTCCTGGCTTCAGAACGGTGCAGCAGCTCCAGCTGTTGCAGCAAATTGGGGAGTAAACCAGCAGATGAAGACCTCTCTCTCTCTCTCTCTCTCTCTCTCTCTGTAACTCTGACTTTCAAATAAATAAATAAATCTTTAAATATATATATAAATATATATATAAAATAAGTTGTTGTAAACTTAAGTCATCCAACTGTGCTGTGTAACATGGTGCTTTGGTACTTGGTATCCGGCCTCCCTCTATCTGCCCCCTCCCATCCCTTCCCTCTGTTACCTTTCTGAGCCTGCCTACCTCTATGCTTCTATGAAATCAACTGTTTTCGTACTGCAGCCTACCTACTTTTCAGTAAGAAAAGTGCTTCATACGCTATTGGGGGAGAGGCAAATAAATGGTTGGCAGCTTCATGCTGCGGAATCAGCAGATCTGAACTGTGATGACATTCCTTGCTAGAATGAGTCCACCCACGTATTTGGATATTTGTAGTAAAACAAGTGAAGCCTTGTGCTCACATCAAATATCACGGTTTATAGCCTGAGAGGGGAGGCAGACAGAGGAGTGGAAGTCTGTTTCTCAGCGGTGGATTACATCCCTTCGCGTTTCCCTGTAGTACTGGGTTCTAGAGAACGTGACAGCGTTTGGCAGTACGGACACAAACCCCAGCCCCTATGACACTGCATGATATTCTGAAGTTAGATGGCAGAGAGAGAATAGGGAATAACTTGTGACGAAGTGCCCAGTACTGCTCGTTTCTTCTGTTACTTTCTTGCTGTGTTCATTGTCTTATTTTGTACTCTTTGCTCTTTGAACTTACAATATTCTCATGCTTTTCTTCCAAAGCAGCTCAAGTGTTCTCACAGATAGCATTTCTCTTATTCTGTGGAGCAGAGTCAGGTATTAGGATCCCCATTTTACAAAGCAGGACATTGAGGCAGGAAGAAGTAACTGAACAATCACTGGCCAAGTAATAGCCTAGTTCTTGCCTCTTTCCAGTGCTTTTTTTTTTTTTTTTTTTGAGTTATTAAGCAAGGAAGGGTGGTAGGTAAGAAATTATTTAGTTTCAAAGAAAATTTAAAAAAATAAAACAGAGCAATGAGATGGATGGACTTGGATTAATGTGCTAATGCAACTCTGTGTGCATGCCCAGCCACTTACCTGTGTGAATTCAAGAATGAAATGGAAGCTCCGTTTACTGTGTGGGCATGAGGGTTGACTCAAGGACTGTGACAGGAAATGTTAAGCTGCAGTCATGAAACTCTGCAGTCTAGGTCACAGCCACATCCTTAAAGACACACCGATGACCGCATCATTACACGGCTCGGGACAGGAGATGCAACTTTCCCGAACCTGATGTTTCTGTGACATTTCAGCCCTGACATTTCAACGTCAATCGTTTGCAGTTTTAATTTATCCCAGTAAAGTCAGCAAGTGGAAAATGACAGACTCCTACTGTTCCAGGTTGATTATGTTTCCGTGTGCAGGTATCTTCAGATTCATTGAATCGATAAAGGGATTAAAGACTTTATTTTGAACGTTTGCTTAACATAGATGCTTACATCTATCATTTAAGGAAAATGATTGTTAACAACAAAACAATTAAATAAAATCAAGAACAGTGTGAGAGGTCATCTGGTTTCATGTAATGCTGTGAATCATAGTAAGAAGTCTGTGTCATGCTTAAAAAAATAATGATCCTTATTGTCCTTACAGGGCACATAGGAACTGAATCACTGTGGTTTTGAGCTACTCCTGGGGGCATGTGACAGAGACCTGTGTCACAGCTGGTCCCAGAACTGTCACTCTGTGAACAGAACTTGGCATTGTGACCACTATAATTAATTCTTCACTCTTCAAATTCGTTTTATTATCATAACCTTACCTTCTGATTGTTACGAAATTCTTTGACTTCTTTTTGGTAAACTCAAATTCAGGTTTTCATAATGTTCTAAGTAAACAGTTTTTTTTCCATATACAAGTTTATTTGGTATCAATTACAAAAACCATACTTTCCATATACCACGTGAAAAGAATTCAAACAAATCATGCACGTCTAGCTGTGTATACAATTGACAGTGTTCAAGCATCCTTAGAGTTGGGCATGATGGTGCAGCAGGTTCAGCTGCCACCTGGGACACCTGTATTACGCATCAGAGTGCCTCGTTTGAGACCCAGCACCTCCACTTCCAATCCAGCTTCTTGCTAACGCACATCCTGGGAGGCAGCACCTGATGGCTTAAGCATTTGAGCCCCTGCCACCCATGTGGGACACCTGGATAGAGTTCTGGGTGC